GGAAAGAGGAAGAGCTGTAGGAATGAAAATCGCAGCCTCTTGATGGCAGAAAAAAAAATCAGAAGATGAGCTGGGAGTGTGACAGGAGCCTTGCAAAACATTTTTTTTACGTACTGAGAAAGAAACACTTGAGGAAGTAAAACACAGTTTCAACAACTAAATGACAAACTGATGTAAAACTGTAGAAAACACAATATCGTAGAACAAACTGAATCTAACGATAAAATCCACATATTGTGCAAACTCCCAAAAAAGTGTTCGTATTTGCCCTTTAGAACAAATTGTTAGTGTCGTTTTAATCTCAAAACCATGTTTCTGACAACTTGGCACTGAGAACATTTTGGTTTCCTATTTGAAAGTGATGGATGATGGGTAATAAAACTGGATGCTGATGCTCAGATACCAGTTCATAGACTACTTTTATCATGAAAAGTGAATGGAGTTCAGGAGGTTGCTTATTTCCGTTTTAGTTAAGTAGAAAGTTTTGTTAAGATGTGCTTCTTCTTCCAGGTATCACACAGCTTCATGGGGCAGATTGTGTTAGTGTAACATAAAAAAATCGTTTCAACAAACCACCAAAACAACATTTATGATGTTAATGTGAAAAAAAAAGCTGATCATTTTTCACAAGAGCTAATCATTTTTCATGGACAGATTGGTGTCATAAGTAGTTATGACACTTGTGAAAAATTAGAAGAGGCCCAGAGTTTGTGTTCCTTACATCTGGTCTCCCATCTGGTCTTCAGTTTACCATTTCGGTTCCTATTTATTTTAGAGTATTCTTTATTTGGTTTAATTTTGTTGCATTTGCATCATGATTCTTTTGGTTGGTCTCCTTGTTTTGAGTTTTCCATGTGGTTTTGGTTATCATATTCTCTTGAGTGGTCTCATGCCTTGCCTTAAGTTCTAGTGTCTTTTTCTTTTTCTTTATCTTTATCTTATGTCTATGTCTTAACTTTGTTTACATTGTCTTTAGAACGTTTGACTTCTAAAGTTTAGATTCTGGTTTCCCAGTTTGGTCGCACCAACTTAGTTTGTTCTCCAATGTCTGCACCTTAGGTCCAACTCCACGACAACACGCCACCCACCGAGAACGCCCTTTGACACATGTGGACAGATTGTTTCTGATCTTACCACTTTAACCAAGATCTTACTACTTTTACAAGATGAATGCTCTATTATGACCAACATCCACTTGATCTTCCATTTGCAATTTCTTCCCGTCTGCTCTCCAGCTCAACCGTAGAACTTTCCAGCAGTTGTAGATACTGCTTTATATATATATATATGTACTAAAAGTGGTAGGTGTTGTGAGTATGTCCTGGGGTATTTGAGAAAATAAGTGTGTACATTTACCACTTTGTTCCAAATGCATGCATATTTTATGTTATATTTCACATATTCTATAATAATACCAGGTTACAGGTTTGTTTATTATCATTCCTGTGTGTCTGTGTATGCATAATTAGAACTTCATTGATTGATGGTCAGGACTGGTATGCCTTGCCGGCTAGTGGCTATAAACTAGCATTGCTAGTAATTCAAATCAAGCATTAATATCCCATGAATGATTGTATAAGGTCATTGGTTAATTATGGGTTTTGTGTTTAGGTTTTCGTTGCAGGTTTACAACCTAACCAACGTTGCTAACTAACTACCATTACGGTCACTAATTGTCAAGCTTCCAGGCTAGCGTAGTTGTAGCTGTTAGGCTAAGTAGTGCGTGTGGATGCTTATTGTGTATGTGTGCGCAATAAAAATCCATAAAGAGACTTGAGTTGTATCTGCCGTACCTGTCCTAAAACCCTTCCAGAAATCTGGACATCAACTTTAATGAAACAAACTTCCATCCATTCTTTAAATATGGAGGACTTGAAATGCTCAAGGATGCGGATACTTCAGCTGAATTAGTCAGAAGGTTTCACAGACATCAGTGTCTGAGTTCTTACTGTAATTACTCTGATTGGCGTTTCTTTCCTCCGTGATGTCTGGAACTTTTATTCAGCCCCATCTCTCAGCACACAATTAATAATCAGCGAGTGTTGCCGGTGGAAGCATGGCTACACAACTCCCACCTCCACTCGTTCTGTCCCTGTTGTTCTTATTGCGTCGTCCTCTCTGTTTAATTAGCTGTCCCACCCCCGTCCGCTCACCCAAACTGGGGGCTTTCTGCGCGGCAATTAGTTCTCGCGGATTGTCAGCTGACTCGGTGGCTCTGGAGCCTCTCGCCGTTGTTGTTAAATCACCGTCGTGAGGCAACTAGGAATTACCCAATTACTGAATTGCTTAATTAGAGCTTCCGACCACGTCGTTTAGGATTTTGCTTGGCGGAAAATGGGGATTCGATAAGACGGGAGGAGGGAGGAGCGGAACAGCGGAAGGAGAAAGAGCAGTTAATGCTGTAAGTATATAAAACTTGCATATGAAATAACTGTATTGACAATATTGAGGCTACATCTAACCATGAAAAAATGCCAGTTCTGCGTCATCCAGGACAGGCCTGTTCTTTTTGTTTGGCTTGCATAAAGATACATTTGGAAAAAAAGAGCAATTTTTCCTAAAAAAGCAACATTTTTTAATGAATCTGTCATGTCTGGGGGAATGTCTGGTGTCTCGCCATGTCTTGAGTACTTATTGCGTACACCTGGGGTTCCCCTCCCTCATGTGTTTAAATAGTCCTTGTTTCCCATGTCCTGTGCCAGTGCGTTTTCGTTTTCGTCTTTCTGTTTTCGTCACCCCTCGCCACGTCAGGTTTGATTTTGTCACAGCCATGCCATAGCCTTGTTTTCCTTATTGCCATAGCCATGTTTTGCCACAGTCATGTTTTTGTCATAGCCATGTTTTGTCACAGTTTTGTTAATCTTGATTTGATACTTTATTTACCATAGCCTTGTTTACATAATTTGATACTTTGTGTTCACAGTCATGTTTAATCTTGATTTGATACTTTGTTCATAGTTTTGCCACAGCCTTGTTTTGAACTTTGTCACCATCCACTCCGTTTGAGTGAGTTTTTTGTTCAAATAAACCCTTGTTTCCATATCTCTGCGACTGAGTCCTCCCTCCAAGATCCACCCCGTGACAGAATCGTCTCACAAAATTAAACTAATTTGAGTAGAAATCATCAAACCTAGAGTGATACATTCCAAATATTTTACTTGAAATATTGAGTATTTTGGATTACAGGTTAAATAAACCCCAAAATGATCTGTCAGAAAATTAGAATATTACATTAGACTTATAAAAAATGGTTGTTTGGAGCACAGATATCAGGTTTCTGAGAAGCATGTCTATTTCTATGCACTTCACACTAGGTTGGGCCTCCTCTTACATGAATTACTACAGACGCCAACGGCCTGTGGCACCGCGATGGTGTAATGGAAGCCCAAATTGCTTTGATAGCTGCCTTAAGGGGTCATCTTCCTTCTTGGGTCTGGTGTCTTTCATCTTCCTCGTGACAACAGCCCATAGATTTTCTACGAGGTTCAGGTCAGGGGGTGGTTTTGCTAGCCAGTCAAGAACAGGAACACCGTGGCCATTGAACCAGCTTTTGGTAAATTTGGCACTGTTCCCGGTTACAATTTAAATCAGCGTCTCCGTACAGCTTTTCAGGGGAGCATGAAGGGCTGTAGAGGGTCCTGGTAGATGGTTCCATTGCCGGTGGAATTCGGAAAACACAGTGGACACAAAACCAGAAGATGCCATGGCACCCCAAACTTCACATTGGACATCAGGAAAAGAGGATTTTTTGCCTCGCCACTCTTCGCCAGACTCTGGGAACTCGATTTCCAAATGAAACACAGAATTTACTTTGTTTTTTTCTGAAAATAGGACCACTGAGCAACGTGTCCAGGTCCTTATGTCCTCACTCTAGGTGAGATGCCTCTGGTGTAGATCTATTATCATCTAACTTTACTGACTCCAGCCTCAGTCCTTGACTATCCTCTCAAGGCTGTGGTCGTTCCTGTGGCTGTTGCACTTTATCCCTCCACTCTTCCTTCCACTTAGTTCTCTGTTAAAATCAATGAGTCACGCCGTTGAATTGATTCCTCACATTTTTTCTCTTTTTAAATCTTTTTTTTTCCAGGAGAAACTGAAAACAGGGCTCTCCAGTCCCAACACAGTCATGCTTTATGGATTTTTGTGAACATTGGCTTGGTTTAATCCTTATTCCATAGTTTCCCGAGTGTTTGTTGAGTCTTTTTCTTTTTTTTTTGCTCTTCTCCTTTAACCCGAGCTTAATGTCTGAGCTGCTCTTTGTTCAGTAATCAACTTTCTCTGTACTTAAGCTCTCTGGTGCCTCTTGTCCATATGTGAGACTTGCCAGGGGTCACCTTAACCACCAGCATCTTCTTCCCCGGCTTTGTTCTCCCTTCATTTTATGTCCACCCTCATCTCCTGGTCTTTATTCTTTTCGTTACTCTTTAGTGTTTCGGCTTAGTCTTTGGTTATCAAGGTTGGCCGTGGCTATTGTTGTGTCGATAAATACATAAAACTCAGTTATTTCTCCAAGAACAGAGATCTAAACTACATTATTAGTTAAATCCAACAAAGTACCAGCAAGAAAACATAACTAGTAGAATCAATGGATTAATAGATAAAATATAGTAATTTACGGATTACATGGGACTTGAGGAACATTTTAAGACACTTGTTTCAAAATCTTTATTCCCCCTTTTTTGTGGTTCAGAATTCAATTTTAAATTTGAACAATATTTTGTGGCTTACGAATTTAATTAAGTTTTCTTTTTTTTCTTTTGAAAGTCTTCTTCCTCGTTGAGATTTCTTTGCAGAATGAAAATGTACTTTCAACAACATCTATAAACTTAATAATATTCATTAATACCCATTTGGAGTCTTTTAAAGACAACTTTGTTCTGTCGATGAGTAGACTTGCGGACATACTTTCTTCTAACTGGTAAAAAATGTGATTTTTCTAGCTAGAAATGTATTGGATGTGCATGCTGAATGTTCTGATTTGTATTTTCTGGGATCGTCCACTATTGTCTTGGGCGTTTGCTTGTCAGGGTTGCAGTACCTGGCGTGTATCCTCTGTCCACGGTGAGGCTGGGGAAAGGCATGGCCCTCAGGCTGAACTTGTTGTGCGTGAAGCCACAGGACGGTGAGGGCAGTATACCGGGATACTGGGAGGAGTCCAGAGTGGGCACCGGGATGGCACTGACCACCGCTGAAAGAGAGAAATCTGTAAGTAATCCAAGCTGAGACGGTAAAATACTAAAATAAATGCACGTCCAATGGCCCAGAGGTTAGGATCTTTGGATATTTGGAAGACGTTGGAGCACTGTGAGAAGACCCAATCAGAAGGTAACCTACCAGCATGAGCCACACACCGCTACGTTTGCTGCTTTGACCTGTTGTTTTGTACTTTGCTATCAACAGATTTGTTCCATATTTTTGCTGCTGGTGTTGCTGCAGTCTGTTTTTTGGTTATTTTTTTCTCTTTTTATCAGGTATCTATGATTGTCTCTCTCTGGTTTCCCCATGGAGGCAGTAGGAGAACTTTTTGTTCCAGCTGTTTGTCAGGTTTTGTCATTTTGTTCTAAATATTTTCTTTTTATTTCAGTTCTTTCTATTTTTCCTACTCTGTCTATGCTTTCCCTCCTCCTGTCAAGCCCCTGTCCAGAAATGTACATTATACTGTATCAGCAATAAATAAATAATCATGGACTGGATATCAAGGGAGGCTTTAAAAGTATAAACCGTCCAAAATGGGTTTGGCACGACTACGTCAAGTCCCCGGGGGACTGGAGCTAGCATGTTTTCTCCCTGTGTCTTCCTGGGTTCTCATTGGGTACTGCAGCTTCCTCCCACGGTCCAAAAACATGCACATTTGGTCAACTGGACAGCTGGATTGCCCCCGAGGAGTGACTGTAAATGCGTGTGGTTGCTTGTCTCTGTGTGCCATTGTCAGCTGGGATAGGCTCCAGCCCCCCCGCAACCCCGTTGGGAATTAGCTGTACAGAAAATGGATGGATGGCTGCCATGGTGCTGGGCAGGACAAGGGGATTAGAGAAAAAACAAAGAAAAACACTTGCAGGACGCAGGGCATGAGAGCAGTAAGCTAATGCTAAAACAGACCGCTAACCAGACCAAGGACAGTCCACAGGAGTGTGGACAGAGCAGTCAGAAAATCTGAATCTGATTTCAGTTAAACATGGAAACCCAAAGGCTACACTATTTCAACACAATCACACAGCAACATCATCCTTTTATACCGACAAACAACGCTAACCACAACGGCATAGGACCGGGATTATAGTGTTCAACGGTGCAATTAGGAGTAGGCTCTTTATACGATTTAGCCTTAAGACTTCAACCTGGAACCCAACAAAACAAAGAAACTGAATATATATAGTAAGAGCAGAAAACGACTACAACCCGAGGGGGGGGGGGGGGGGGGGGGGGGGGGGGGGGGGGGGGCAGTAAGAGCAGACAGTTCATGTCTTGTGACCCTGAGAGGAACCTGCAGGGCGGGGTACTCATAGAGACTGATTACACCCCCTCAGGTCAACAACACACACAAGTGGTTAGATAAATAAATGCTTTTTTTCTATTGTAGATATTTTTTATTGTTATTGTGTGAGGGCTGATGACTGTAACATTTGATTTTGAGCACTCTACAACCATGTTATAAAAAGATTTCTGATAAAGAAAATTAAACAAATAGTGAAATAATACAGTTATTTTTTGTTATAAATCACTTCTATTGTTGATGAAACCTGTATTTTTTAAATCTAAAACTGAGTACTCTACAACATGTTATAAAAATATTTCAGATTTTTTAAAAATTAAATAAATAAATATTCGTTTTTTTTGTTACAAATCACTTCTATTGTTGATCAAATCAGTATTTTTTAAATCTAAAACTGACTTTCTCCTAGGAACAATAACAATGTTTTCATTTCTATTTGATGCATATTTGTTTATTAAGTCCCACTTCTGTGTAAAATGAAGTCACTGCTGGAGAATAGAGTGTGGATAAATACAACTTAGCTATATGTAAGCTGGCCGTTTGCAGAAACTGCAAATACAACAGTTTAAAACTCAGTAATTATAACGTCTTTCAACTGGGATGAGTCCAGAGGATTGT